TCGCGGCACGAGAACGTTGGAACGGCACGCAAGTACTGTCGGTGCCACTTGTGGTCGTGGCGCCGTTGGTTCTGAAACACTTCGACGACAAACACCTACGTCGATCGAGTCAATGCTTTGGTTACCAAGGCTGGTCCGCCCGCCAGGATGTCCCTCGCCATCGCGAGAGGAGCGAGGCTGGCGTGCACAAAAGACATTCGCTACCTTCTTCTGGAGGAGCGGCAGCGAGTCGAGCCGCTGCGTGAACTTGGTCAAGCGCCGGGCATCGGCATCCATGGCGAAGTATGGTTTTGATCGACCAGCGTCTACTTCTCTCTACGCGGGAGGTGGGCCAGACGATGGATGAGTCCGCCATGTTGGATTTGGGGTGCATCCACGATGGTGGATGAGGTGTACATGATGGAACGAGGAGAGGCATGGCCAGAACCCCTTTTATAAATTTCATCGACGGCGTTTGTGCCTCTTTCCCAAGGGGCAAGGCCCCCGGTGGTGTTGTCATGGTGGAAGGGAACCGTAGTTCGCGGAGGGTTGTGCGTTTGCTTGGTCCTTAGTTGCGGAACTGAGTGCTTGGAGAATGTTCCAACCACCGGTTTGCGATGCGTTACCCCAGTACGGCAATGTGATTGTGTGCATGACGCATTCACACAATCGATAGGACGTGCCTCTAGCGCCGGAGGTGTCTCGGGCTCACCAAAAAATAAGGACGAACAAGGCCCCCGTGCATCACGTGGCGCACCCCACCGCAGTTTTGGTCCTGCAGTGTAAACGTTATGGTATCGACGTTCGTGGTGAACTCCTAGAAGACTTGGTCGTGCGTGTACCATCGTAGGCCGACAAAAACGTCGCACCAGTGCTGTGGGGAGCAGCCATGGACGGGCACGCACTCGGTGCGCCAACGCTACGAGTGCGCTTCCGTCGCATGCGGCCCGACGAGGAAGTTGCGAAAGTGCGCACCGAGCCTTGGCATAATTCTCGGTGCGGCATTCCACACGGTCGTGGTGGTGACGAATTTCGACCAGGTGATGACGTGCAATTGCGTCGTTTACGCGAAGTGTTTGAACTAGAACTCGAAGCATCGTATGCCCATCGGATCAACTGGAACCGCTGGAAGAATCCCTTGAGATGCTCCTCCAAGCAAGACGAGTTTCGTCTGTGAGTGCCACACGACACAAAATGCATCCCCAGCCATTGTAGCCGTCCTCTTGAACAGTTTTTCAGGTACTCGACATCGTCCTTGAATGGACCTCTCAGGTTGGAGAGTTCTTGTCTCCGACAAATGGCACACCGACCGCCATCGGCATCATGTATAGGCTCTAAAGTACTCGACACTATTGCTACAACGCTTGGGCTGCAATTTTACGGTGTCAGCGCTGAGGCTCAAACTACGTGGACGACGCGGCACGGGGCTTCCTTCCCTTGACGACGGCTGCCATGGACCGTCGATCCAACCGCTTGGTTTTTTGAATCGACGTGCCGGACGGGTGGTGCACGTCACCGAGAAACGGCGACGACGCGTGGGGGAACGGTGTGGGGGTTCTACCATCGTCCAAGTCGCCCTGCAAACGAATTGAGTCCGAACGTCAGCATGTAGGAAAACGCACCCATTCATCCGTCGCCATCGAATGCAACGAGTAGAGCGCGATGGCGAGCTGTAGCCACTGCACAAACATCTCGGACCCGAGAAACACAGCCGAGAGACACTACACGCTGTGTCACACACGAGAAGGCAGCAACGTGAGTCGTACCTGAAGCGACAACGACATGAAGAAGACAGGGCTGTACAAGTTGCCCGTCTTGACAGCGGACAGAATGAACGAGATCAAGAGCAGCTCGGCGCCGTTCAAGTCGAGGAGGAAGCTGTGGTGGGACACCCCTTCGACCAAAAACACGAGCGGCAGGAGGATGCGAAATGTCGCGACCATGGTGGTCGACCCTTGCGTGCAAAAGAGCTGGACCAGGAACGCGTACCAGAGGCACACGGGGGCCCACGGCGGCGCCCATGGAATCACGTACTGGACGAGGAGCGGAAAGAGGTAGAGGAAGGCAAAGCAGCTCGCGATGTTCCGGTTGAGCACGAGACCCCGCACAACGAACCGGTGAAACTTGATGCCGTACGTCAGTGCGTGGAAGCCCACGTGAAAGATAAGAGTCATCAGAGTGGACAGCACCCATTGCACCTACAGACATGGTCACATTTACGACGACAACGGACGACGACATGAAACATACACAAGTAAGGAGCCATGGCAGGCCCGTGGACGCGCCAGACGCCGAGACGAGCCACACGCACGACGCGACAAACGCCGATTGCATCACACTCCACGCGGACCGTGGCACTGGCGCGAACAAGTCGTCGTCGTCGTCTTCGTTGGGATAAGGAGACCGGTGCGGTGGCGCTGCGCTTCCGTCGGCACAACTCGTTTCGTCCTTTCCGTGATCTTGCCGCCTGTGCGACAATTTCATTCCACTGTCGCTCTTCTTCTTATCCATCGGGCCGTGGGCCTTGGGCGCATTCGTTGAAATGGCAGCCGGCACATTGTCCGACGCGGCGGCGGTGCGCCGGTTTCGTTTGTCCGACCGCTTCTTCGACAATACGGGCGCGGTGGCTGGGCGTGTCGGCATGTCGTCTTCCGAAGACGGTGGTTGAACTTCATGGTGGACGGGTTGATGCAGTGGCGCCGCCACAGACACATCGTCGTGGTCGTGCTGCGACGCTGGTTCTGTTACTAGCGCGACATCTTTCAACTCTGGTACATCGAAAGCGGGTGACGCTTGCAGTTCCTCTTTCGTTGCGACAGCTTGGTCTGTCGATGGCTTTGGAGACGGCGGCGAAGACAGCTCTATCAATGGACATGGCGCAGGAACGTCGTCGTCGACAGAAGCATCGCTCGCCCCCCCATCTCCAATACGCCTTTCGTTGTCACGGGCTTTGTCGTACGGTGGCGTTTCAGCGACATCGGTAGCAGCAGTCGCGTTGTCATGGTCGGTGTCTTGCGACACAAGACCTTCGTCCGTCGAGTCTTCAACAACGGTGATGTCCCCCGCCGCACCATCCGCGGAGGAAGGGACAGGCTCCGTGACGGTTGGACTGCCTTGACGGTTCAAGTTGCCTCGCTGTGGCGACGGGACAACGTGGGAAGATTCCCCGGAAGGAGTCGAGCTTTTGCTTTTGATCGATCGCGGGGTCGTCGGCACGTTGGTTGCGTCGACAGGGACATTCGTGGTTTCTGAGCCGCCTCCACCAGACACACGCGGCGACGTTTTGTCTGCCGCTCGTCCGTTTCGGCGTGGTGTCGACGTTTTTGCACCTGCCGCAACTGGAGGCGTTGCCTCCACCGACGTCGTGATGGCTTTAGGGTACTTTTCACGATACACAGAGGTTTGTCGTCGATTCGATACCGACGTCGCCGCATGTGTATGGCTACGGGACGCAGTATTGCCTCGAGACGATGCAGTCGCTGCGTCTGCCACGGTCGGTTTTTTCGGTGACATGCCGTCACCACGCTGCTTGATGCGGATTTGACCGGGCACGACTCGCGGGGCCGGTGACGACACGTTGGCGGCCGCTTTTCCGGCGAAGGTCATCGAGGACAACAGCGTCGAACCACTCGTCGGTGTCGATCCGACGTCGGAATCTAGCGACGACGCAGACGATGGAGACCCGTGCCGTTTGCCAGAGTACGGGTCTCTGATCTTGGTCGATGGCGGAGGGATTTCTTGCTTGGGCTCTGTGCTGTGGCCAGGAGAGCGAACGGTTGACATCGAAGGACGACCTGTCGTCGACAACGACCGAAGCGGCGCCAGTGGGTGCTGGGAAGGGATATCTTCCGGACGGTGGTCCAAAAAGGTGTTGCGGAAGCGATGCACCCCGATCGAATTCTTCCCGTCCTTATTGGGCGGGTCATCGAGGAATAGCCTTGACAATGGCGCTGGTTGCTGCTGGTCGATCACGACCGACGTCGTGTTGAGTTCGGCCAGCTCCATATTCGATTGGACGGGAATACCAGACGAAGAAAACAGAGCCGCGCTGGAAGTCGAGGCTGGTGGCTGGACTGGATGCAGTGGGGGATGCGTCGCAGTAGGGTTTTGAGGGAGGAAATTAAACGCAGAATGTAACGAGTCGCTTTGTCGATCCAGCATTCGTTGATGTGATGGTAAAAAGGAACTTGCAGCCGATGGTGGGGAGACGTCCAGTCCTGGAGGAGCGCGGAGTGGACCGGTGGTGGACGATGTGCTTGAGGCGCTCATGAATGCGGAGCGTGAAAACGTAGTGGTCGAAGGAGACGGCATGGGTTGAGATGGCCCTCCTGCATTGTTGTTTGAGCTCAGGAAGGACGAAGATCCGATGGAGCCGATCCCGCCGCCATTCGTTGGTGTGGACGACCCTCCAGGAGGTCCCCCAAGTCGACCGCTGTATCCGTAACTTCCAAAAGATCCAAACCCACCACCTCCGACAGATCGATCACGCATGGATTGAGTGTTTGGTACGGCGACGCCACCTAGTCCTGACAAGAGGAAGTTGTTCGCTTCACTGGCAGGGGTCGGATGCATGCGAAATGGTTGTGCCGTGGGTTGCGCAGGGCCAATGGACCCAAAGGAGCTCGGCACGGGACTGGACATACCCAACGTCCGTCTGGGCGGGGAGTCGTCCGCGATGCCCCCAGGGAGGAAGTACAACACGCCATTCTCGTCGTCCGTAGAATCGGCGCCGTTCATGTCGATTCGCTGTCGAGACGGATTGTAAGTTTTTGTGTGCGAAACACAACCACAGCCAGAAAGCTCGAGCTGTTGGCCTCGACGGCACCGTACATTCCATACATCCAATCGTACAATTATTGTACGTGAATGTTTGATATCGTACTTTCATAAACAATTCAAGTCTATTTGATGTACATTGGACTATGTACGAGTCACTCCGTAGGACCCCTCTCGATTTCAAGCTGTGTGGGTGAAACCAGCATGGTTTCGGTGGCAGCATTGCCACATTTGACCGCCGTCGATCACGTTAAGATGCAAGCGAGGGGTGCCAAAGCGACGAGATCCTTCAGCGCGATTGCGTACGAGTCCTTCTTCACGTCGCGGTCGCTTCGCCGACAACCGTCAGCTATTCGATCGCTGCAGCCGCTTGTGGCGCTTCCGGGTATGATTTCCCTTGGCGGGTAGGTGCATGTGGCTTGGACACTTGATCTCCTCACGGCGTGCACTGCTCAGGGGTATGCCGAATCCAACCACATTTCCGTTTGAATCCATGTCGATTAAACTCAAGTCTGGACAGACAATGGACCTCCGTGGCCCGACGTTGCAGCAAGCTCTGCAATACTCGCCCACTCCAGGTCTCCCCGAATTGGTCCAGATCATTTCCACGCGAATGGAAGATGAACATGAACCGCCTGCACTGTCGGAGCCGCGCATGCTGTCGATCACGACAGGCAGTCAAGATGCACTGTACAAAGCATTTGAGATGCTTATCGACGAAGACGACTCACTCTTGGTCGAAACCCCCACGTACTCGGGAACTCTTGCTCATTTGCATGCCGTGAATTGTAACCTCGTGACGGTGCGCACGGACGGTCAAGGTTTGGTGCCCGAGCATCTGGCGTCCATATTGGACAACTGGGACAGCATCAAAAAGAAGCCTAAGGTGCTGTACACGATCCCAACCGGTGGAAACCCCACGGGTGTGAGCATGTCTTTCGAACGCAAGCAACAAGTGTATGCCATCGCGTCGAAACACAATTTGATTGTCCTCGAAGACGATCCGTACTATTACCTGACTTTGAATGGTGCTCGCTCAAAGGTTCGTTTTCCTACCCCTCGACCTGACTGCCCCCCTGACAACGTTGTTTAGTCGCTTTTGCACTTGGACGTTGATGGACGGGTGATGCGATTTGACTCGTATTCCAAGATTTTGTCCTCTGGATTGCGCGTCGGGACAGTGTATGGACCCAAAGTTTTGATTGAGCGTTTGAATTTGCACACCCAATCTGCCAACCTTCATAGCAGCGGGCTGTCCCAGGTATACCAATACTGACTATGATGTTAAGCTCCTCAAATCTTTCCAGGCTGTGGTGTTGCAACTGTTCAAACAATGGGGAGAAAAGGGATGGAACGAACACGTGGAGGCGGTTTGCATGTTTTACCGTGGTCAGCGCGACGCATTTCTTCGCGCCCTGGACAAGAACCTTACTGGATTGGCGACGTGGGAAGTCCCCGATGCTGGAATGTTCGTATGGATCAAACTGCTCGGTGTTGACGATTCCAAGGCGCTGATTGAGCAAAAGGCTGTTGCAAGCAAGGTTTTGTTGGTTCCTGGGCAAGTCTTCCTCCCTGAAAACGTCAAGACATCGTACGTTCGTGCAGCATACTCGACAGCCACCCCGGAGCAAATGGACTTGGCGCTCAGCCGCTTGGCTGCACTCCTTCAAGACAAGTAATTGGCAATACTTACGGCCAAGACGCCTAACGTAATCATGCAATTCAGCTATGTGTGCCAACTTGGCATAAATGTTAACTTGGGCCAATCAAAAGCTTTCAAATCCTATTGGTCCAATCAAAAATCGTCAAAACTAAGGGGTAGGGATTTGATTCCATACTTTATTCAATACAAATACATTTCATCTAGGCAAAATGCGCGCGCAATTTCGACATTCGCGAATTGCACCACACGGAGCAACTTGGAGCGGCGATGACAAAACTAAGCGAGTTGATGCGGATGGGGGTGGGGAAACGAACGGCGGCGCTTGAAAGCATGGGAAGGTCGAAGGGAAAGACACTTGACAGTCTCGATGGCGTGCCTGTAGAACTTCCCAAGATTATTGCACAAGAAACGAAGAAGATGAAGTACAGTACCGTCGTGAACCTTGTCAAGTTGGTGAACGAATTTTTCCGTATTTTTCATCTGAATGCTGACATTTGTAGAGTCCTTCGTTGTTCGTATGTGGACTCGAAAGCATGCATGGAGCTCCTCAATGAAGCAAATCTTGGACGAGCACTATTGGAATCACTTCGAGCGATGTCGAAAGGTACTGAGGGTGTTGACTTTATCGACTTCACATGGAGCTGAAGACAAGGAAGATCAAGTGATGGAAAGCTTTTTGTCAAGCATTGGAGACTTGGTAATGCGATGAAGCGGTAAAGCTGGTTAATACGTGTGTATAGTTTGAGTGGGACTTTTTTGCCAAGAATGAGCGGCGGTTTTTTCTTGAAGACATTATTGACATCATAAAAACGAGATACACGAGCCCCGGTTTCCTCGTGACGGAAGCATTGAGCGTCATCATGACGATGTTCACGACAGACAATGCAGCTGTCCTCAGTGAACTCCGAGCCAGTCGGAAGTGTCTTCCGCTATTTTTCGACATTATATCCAACATGCCCAAGACGAAATCCTTTCATTTCCAAGCACTCCTCGTGGAAATTGTTTATCGCGTCATACGTATGCTTCGGAAGTCATCAATCAAGAAAGATCAAGAACTCGTTCAGAAAACTCTCGAGTCCCTCCCACCAATATTGTCACTAGGGATTCAAAGCGTCACTCCAAAGGTTGACATGAATTTTCGTGTGCATGCGTAAAACTTTGATAGGAATTTCGCGCGGGTACACGACAACTATTAAACCAATTCAACCAAGCTGTGGGGGTGGTGAAGTCATTCCCCATAAAGGCACTCTCATTTGAGTGCAACATGAACAAACAGGTATTGCTTATGACAGGATCATTGTCATTTGTCCTCTAGGTCGCGATGGACGATGTTCAATGGTTTGACATGGGTGGCATGACATTTGAAGTTGAAAGCGCAGTCCGCATTGCCGACGAACTCATTCAAGGCATTGCAAAACTGCATTTTTCGAACATCCAAGGATATTCCACCGACGGAAAGGGTATTGCCAAACTGCACATCAAGACAAGCGTATCACTGGCAGATGTGTTGCCAAATGTGAATGACGTGGCGTGGAATGATCTCCATCGGCTAGTTGTTGTGTTACAAGTCGATGCATCCGTACGGCCAACTACGAAAGGTTCGAAGAATTAATAATCTGTATCGCTAGGTGTTTGAGGAGATTGTTGCATCGTTGAAATCTCGTTTCAAGAAACTTGAAGGGGGCGATTCAACAAAAACCACTGCCGTCGACGCAGCATCAAGCACAAATTCTCGAGCTGCTGCTGATTCGTCCAATTCATTCTATGAGCTCATGGCTGAAACCAAGAGCAAGCAAAAAATTTCCGTCGATATTGCACCCATCCATGCGCAAATCGCTGTTGGAAAGACTGCACGTCGCGTCTTAAAAAAGCCTGAAGTATGCACCAGAACGCAAACTTTCTTGCCTGAAGGTTTGAGTTATAGACTTCAGAGGCAAGTCGTGACATGAAAGCCGAGATTCTCTCAGAGACCAACCGTGATGTCAAAGCAACGACGAAGAGCAAGGTCAAATGCTCAGTGAGAAAACGCCAAGCAGTCAACGATACTCAGAAACCGGAGAATGTCCCACTTGTCACGATCAAGCGAGAGCGTGAAATCGAGCCAACTCGGGAGTTTGAGCAGACTACTACTCGTCCGACGAATTCGTACAAAAAACAAAAGACAAATGAGGAAGCAGGCCCTATGTCAAAACCACAACAATCCGCATCTACAGCATCCAGTCGACCACGCTGCACTATTTCAAAAACGGCAAACCTCACGGCATCATCCAGTGCTGTGCAACAGTGGAAACAAGAGACAATTTCTCATTACGATTCAACGCAAACTGGGTCACATCGATATGGACAGGATTTCCGAAACACTGTGGCAGTTTCCAAGGGTCTTGGGGCAGCGAATCATGGAAGGCCAGAGTTGCCCACATCAAGCGACCATAGAAGGATTCCTGGGCCGATTGAACAAACACGGCGGAAGAAAACCCAAGTACACGAAGCATCCGATTCCCTTCAGACATCTTCAATGTCCACGGAACGTTTTGTGAAACAAAACATCAAAACAAAGAAGGCACCCAATGAAGACATTCAACATCAAGATGACCATTATTCCGGAAGCTTTTGTAAACCATTCCAAGCTTATGGTATGTACGATATCAAGGACAATATCGACGACTTTCCGAGCACAATTCAACTCCAAACCACAGAATTCAATCATGCGCCGATATCCCCGTCTGAATCGAGTGCAAGTGCCGACATGGATATTCAATCGCTATCATTCAGTCAATCGTCATCGAAGAGTTCTACTCCTCCAACTTCATTGGCAGGTCACCATGTCATCGCAGGTGTGTTGCACTTTCTATTTCTCAATATCATATCACCCCGTGCGTGTAGCATCCCCACAGCAGAAAAGGCAGCCTCTGCATACACAACGACAAAAATTGTCTAAATCGACCACACGTTCACCTCTCGAGATGCAGCAAGAATTGCTTGGAAAACTTACCGGTCTAGCCGACGCAATATTAGAACAGCAAGAACGAAATCGTCACAGCCAGCTCCAGCATGTTGTGCAGCACAATGTGGAAAAGTTTGATAAGTCGATTGGTGAGGTTTCCAACGCGCTGAGAATTCGACTTGGATTCAGTGCCATTGAGCCGACTCTCGAAGACGCAGTGACGCAGCATCGTCTTCAAGTCCACACTTTGAAGCAGCACCTCAACGAGACGCTCTTAAGTATGCAAGAAAACGAAGCCGAAGATGACGACTTGCTCTCAGATTGCTCAAAATTGAAGGAAATCGTCATGCAAAATGGACAAAGCTTGTTGCAAGATCGAATGAAAGTCTTGATAAAGAGGATGGAAGGCTGTCGAACGAAGCGAAGACATCAAATGCAAAGCAAGCTCAAGGATATCAAAGACAAGTTCAATTCAAACGACCTCCTTGCCATGCAGGCCCTTCTCGGTCGAATTTAAGCAAGTCTAGCCTTTGCATGTTGGTGAATTTTATCTAATTTCTCTTTTGACGAAGAAAGGTACTGATCAGAGTCAAGAAACGTTTGGCATCAGTGTCCGCGTACGCGTCCAATGTAGATTTGGCTTCAGCAATGGCTTCAGTACTTCCAATTCGAGACTTGCACAAATCCCACAGAATTTCCGTGAAGCAATACTGCACATCAAACTCGGGATGCGATTGCGCACACAAAATGTTGTTCTTTGACCCCACCACGTAAGCTTCATGCGCACATGAAGCCGACTGCGCAACCAATTTGGCTTCGGGAGGCAAGGTGACGACACAATCGCCGTGAACTTCAAGCAAGTTTAACGTTGTCACTTCTTCAGAGCCCGAGTAGTGGGCGAAGGACGGCAAGAAATGCACGTCTTCCGCCTTCATGACAAATTGGTCGCTCTGACCCACGACTCCACCGAGCGCGTGCGCCACAAGTTGATGACCAAAGCAACCGCCATACAAGTTTGGAGCGCCAGTGTCCGCCACGTGCCGAATGATGTTGATCAATGCATCGTACCACGGCAACTGGTCACGGACGTTGTAATGAGAGCCCGTGATGACAATTCCGTCGTAGTTGTCTTGAAGAATTGACGCCAACGAGTCACCGGTTGCAGGGTTCACAACTGTCCACGAGTCGCCTTCTTGCGTCAAGCCGTCGATAAACATGTCGCCTAGAGAAGATGTGCTCTATTGGTACACGTTGGCATGGGGACGTGCAAGTGTGGCTCTACTATAGTTGCGCTTCTTCCAACGCTCGACGGCATCCTCCGCGTGGATCACACAAAAGCGAGGCATTTTCGTGACTGACTGGTGCACCACCTTCTTCCAAGGGCGTCGAGCTAACCTTGGACTGAATCACTTGTGCCGAGGGGATCGTCGTGGCCGACCTTGGACTGATTCACGAATATGCACGTGGTGATGAACGATTCAAATAATGTGAGATGACGTTGCGGTCAATTTGTATGCACAGGGGGGTTTGGTCAGAGAAATCTTTCACAAGGACAACATTTGCACGCTCCATCTTGAGCGCACTGTACTAGTATTACTGCGTTTCCATCACCACTACAACGAACTGTGGTGGTGTTGCATAGTAGACGTACATACCGTCGAGGACATCGACGGTTCGCTTATGCCAAATACAACAATAGCGATCATTCGACCATGGAACCCAGGATGTGTCGAGTTTTGCACAGCCGGTGTGTAAACTAAAGCGGAGACGACGGATGAACTATGAGTGATCTCGTTCGTCATGAACAC